TTTCAGAACAAGTTACTGAAGAAGATCTTTCATCAGGTCTTGTTTATCCACCAATTGAAAAAATTCGTCTAGTATCAAGAAAAATTGCTACTGCAGTAGCAAAATATGCCTATGAAGAAAAATTAGCTGCATTTTATCCAAAACCAGATGATTTAGAAAAATTTATTGGAGAACATCAATATACAGCAGAATATGAATGTGCATTACCACCACGTTGGAGTTGGACAAAAGAAAAATAATCTCAAATAATTTAATGTACTTTTTTTTCCTTTCCTATTGACTTATGTGCACATTATCTTTATTTATCTAAATGTATCACATTTATTAAACAATAAAAATATATAGTAGCATATGTAAAACCTTGTTATCATTTATTATAATATTTATATGACATGTTTGAAAAATTTCTTGATAGAGATATTATTGGTAATATTAATGTGTTCTGATAATGTATCAAAAGACTGCAAGTAATAAAAAGACAATGTTGAAGTGATTTTCATAATAATAAATATCATATATAGCAAACATATATATATAGCTGAATTGCAAAATTACTGTACCATTCCGAAAAACAAAACAACGAAAAAAAAAATTTTCGATTTTAAAAACGGTGATTATTGCATTCTATAGTACAATATGAGAGGAAAATAAGAATAAAGTTTCCTGACTATCACTGTCGAATTGGTCGAGATAAGAAAGTTTTTTTTTTCAATACTGTTTAAATGCCAGGTGGAATCAATTTTCTAATACATGCCTCAATTGAATTTTTCGACCATAATCTAACTTTTAACATTGAGTCTTTTCTTTGAAATGAAAAACCATGTTCGATCTAGAATTAGCGGCTGAAATAGCATGATTTGTTCTGCACTGTATTTGTTTCATACACTTATACAGCAATAAGATTTGCAAATGTGCAGTTCATGAGAAAATGCATATAATTAAGGACTTTTTTTCTGTGAATTTATCAAACTGTGAGACACAATATAGGATTAATAGGCATGACTCTTGATAGCTCCTTAAATATGAAATCAGTTAATATATTATGTATTTATTGAAGCTTTAGCTATTATACAGTTATGCACATAATAATCTCGCGTGATATGTTGACATTAATTTTTTTTAATTTCATGAAACATAAGTTGTCTGATCTTGATATTTTAAATGATAATTGAGCACAATGAGTAAATAAAATGATTAAAATTTCATCTGCGACTATCGTGCCTAAAGAGAGTTATATATCAAATAAGATCAAAAAGTCTCGTGTGATATTTAGTATGACAACTAAATTTTCAAAACTTATTTTAGTTTTTCTTAACAAGGAATAATACAATTTTCTCATCCTTTTAGACGGTTATACTTCTCATATATTGGCTATCGTTCAACACTATCTCGATTCGTTTTCGATGGCTTGTTTAATGCCAACGTCAGTTTTAATCTCGTGTGACAAAATAACGAGGAATAAGTGTACACCTGTTATTGACAAAAAAAAGGTGTATTAGAAATCGTTATGAAAGTGTTAATCATTCTCATATTCAAAAAGCACAGACTGTATACTATAAATTCGTTAACTTCCGAAATTCAAATGACGACAGAAAAAATAGATTACGTGTCATTTTTTTTTAATCGATAAATGGTAGTAAAAATCGATTTTTTAACCTTGTGTATCTAATAAAAATCATAGAGATTGATTGAGAAGAACTCGGCTTACTGAATTTTTTTTTATATAAGAATATAATGGTACAATAATTTTGCAATTCACTCATGTAAAGGATATTGCAAAACGAGTAAAAAAAAATTCATTGTAATTTATAAATGAAGTTAATGTCAAATAGAAATGTATACATTCGAAGAAATTTTTGTTATAATTTGTGAACAGAAAAGAAAAAGCGATTGGAGTGCGTAGATCGATTTTAAAGTACACGGCTCAGTACAGAATACTTCACTCGGTGGGTGAGTTGTTATACACTCCTTAGCGGATTACTACTTTCAACGGCTACCGCCCCAGACTGTCATCGCGCAAGTATTGACTGCTGTTGTGACAACAGACGCCGTCCCTCGCTCTACGATGTAACGACCATAAAGCATGCCATTCGCTATCAAACATTCATGATTAACTTCTACTTAAAACTACACACAATTGTGATTGAGTAATAACATAATGCAAAATATTATTTGTTAAAAGAAAAGCAAAAGTAATGACTCATTCTTCTAGTAAAGGAACAAATAATTATTGTGTGAATCAAAAACATAGCAGTAAATGTTGATTTTAAATTATCCAATATTTCTACTCTATTGAACTTTTCTTTTCAAGTTTCTTACGGCTTTCGCCTTCTCAAAAACTGATCTTAGATCGGATACATTCAAATCGTATGAAACTCTTAGAATATATTGGGACTGTAAGGATGACGATGTGATAAAATTTAGTGTTATACTATGACATTTTCGCGAGATATTCAACAAATAAGAAGAAAAGCTAGGTTATTTGACATCACAAAATTCTCTGTAAGTCTTCATTCTATACACTTAATCGTTTTCTTTTGTTTGAAAGAGCATGTTAGAATGTCGACTATGAGATAGAATGCTTTTCTTTTTAATTCTTACTTTGTAAAGGAAGAAATGCTTAAAAGTGATTTTTTATATAATAGCAGTAACGCTTAACGAAAAAAAAGAACTGTGTCATGCCCTACATCTTAATATTTTCTTTCAAACAAATAACAATTAAATATACAGAATGAAAGTTCACAAAGGTTTCTGGATTGTGCAATCAGGAAAACATAGAGAAAAAGAGAAAAAAAAATCAGTTTTTTCTGACTAAAGCGAATTTTTGAAGCAGGAAACGATAGAAATTTTTGGAAAAAAACAAGGTGCCAAATAAAAAATTATATCGCTTATAACGGATTAAAATTCAGACAATTCCTCTGATGCATTTACCTTAACTTTCACTTTTTTTTTGATGTACCAGAAGCTTAAATAAAAATTAAATATAATCAAATTCAATACATATAGTAATAATTATCTTTAATTTCTATTTAATTTTATTCATTCAGAATAGATAGTAATATAAAGAATGAAAGGTAAAAGTCGAAACAAACAGAAAAAAAATGTTCTCAACAATACTTATCTCTCAATTGCAAAGAAGAAGAATACGATAAGAACAGTCAATGATAATAACAAACTATTAATTTACTTGCAATAGTCGAAATTTTATCTCATTTTTGAATCACAAACATGTCAAAATCCTATGCAGTAATTGTCGGTGACATAGGCGGTACTAATGCAAGATTGCAATTACTATGGTACAATCGTCATCAACATATGCCAATACCATCTATTGTAAATGTAACTCGAAAAACTTATCGAACAATTACATTCATAGGTCTTAGTGCAATATTACAACATTTTTTAAATGATATACAAAGTGAACAACATCAAGAAGATGTTCTTAGTGCTATAAAAAATAAGAAGTACGACTGTATAATTTGAAAGAAAAAAGAGAAATCTTTGATTGTCTTTGTTTATCTAGTATTCGAGTAGTTTTAGCTGTATGTGGTCCTATTTGGAATAATCGTCGAAGCAATGATACGAATAATGTACTCATGGAATCTGATGGTTCCAGATGGCCGCAACAACATGCAGACGTAATTGAGAATGATCTTAAACTCAATCCTAATTCCTTAGTATTTTTAAATGATTTTGAAGCTATTGGTTATGGTCTTGCTGCACAAGTTGATTTGCAAGTAAATGAACTATGTAAACTAACTGAAATATATGCACTTCATCAAGTTTCTCTCGAAAGTAATTCTGATACAAATGTACCGATAGCTTGTTTTGGTGCTGGTACTGGTCTTGGTGCATGTTTTCTTTCACCGGATGGTACAGGTCGGTATCAAGTTTATCCATCAGAAGCAGGTATGACTGATACATTTAGTCCACGATCAGAAGAAGAATGGTGTTTAGTTAAATATTTACGTCGCAATCAATCATTTATTGAAATTGAACAACTTGTATCAGGTCCCGCATTTGTTACAATGTTACAATTTTATTCAGAATATTTAAATCAATCTTTAACATCAAAACTTAATGATGATCTTCAACAAGCCTCACAAGATGATGCACCGGCAATAATTGCTCAACATGCTCATGATTATAATGATCCATTATGTCTTCGAGTTGTTGATACATTTCTTGATATTTTTGGTCGAGTATTAGGTACAGCAGCACAAACATTTTTACCTTATCGTGGTTTATATATAACTGGTGGTATTTTACCTAAACTTGCATGGCGATGGCAAAATAGTTCTGAAAATCTTCTACTTAAATCTTATTTAGATCAAGGACCAAAAATGAGTGAGATAGTTGCTCGTGTTCCACTTATTTTAGTCAATGATGATGATTTGGGTATGAAAGGATGTCTTTACTATATGACAATTCATGATGATTAACATTAATAATTCTGTATACATACAAAAAAGATCAAAAAAACTAAAGAAAACAAATATTACGTTTTGATCAAAGAAAAAAGATTTACATGTGATAAATATAATGAAAAGAAAATAGTACTCGGAATAGCTATAGAGATTTATATTATCTAAAGATTAAAATAAATAAAAGAAAACTATTCCAATTTTGCAAAATTTTTTGATTATTTCAATTTGATTGCATCAATAACAATTCGAGTTGTCGAATGAACTCGAACAAGATTGTAAAATTTTGTATTTCACTGCAATTAATAACTCAAGCATCTATTGTTTTCTTTTTCAATTAAAATAACTCGTTCTATATGCGTAAATTTAATATCAACCTTATCACTTGGGAGTACTTGTAAGATTAATAACAACATGAAATCAATTGTTTGTGTGCGTCAGAGAGTCTATGACTAGTACACATTCATAAACTTAAAGAAATAATATTGATTGTAATCGATTTCTCTTAGGAATTCAGCAAACCTTTTTCTTATTTATATTTTTCATTTCATACATTCATTCAATAGAATATCGATAATGCGATTCATACTGGTTTTCTCAAATATTTTTATTGTTGCTATTGCTATAACGAATACAAATGGTCAACATTTAATCAAATTTACTGAGGAAACTTTAAATCAATTACGATTAACACCTTCACGTCTATCAACATCGGTATCTTACATTGATTTTGAAATATTAAATGAACGTCAATGTGCTATTGAATGTATAAAAGACCAATCAATATGTACAGGTTTTTTCTATGATGCGACAAATAAATTATGTTCTTTATTTGATGATTTAACTAAAATTGTTGATAATGATATAACTAGTTTAGTAAGTTAAAATTTGATGAATAACTATTGAAATAATTTTATTTATTTAGCGGCAAGAAATTAAACCGAATGTTTGTGACAAAATTAAATGTGAACCAGGTGCAATTTGTGTTAGTAATACTCGTGAAGGAAAACAAATACCAAGTTGTGTTTGTTTAAATGGACAATCGACACCTGATGATTGTGATAAAATAGGTTAGAATTCTTTTTTTTTCATATGGATATTGTTATTTTTGTTTCTTCATTAATTAATTCCTTGATAGAAACTGGTATATGGACTGATTATAATGATTGGTCTGTATGTAGTGTCACATGTGGTGAAGGCTATCGATTTCGTAAGCGTGAATGTTTATCATCTACTGATAAAACTCAAAAAATTCCAAGCGATAATTGTATTGGTACAAATATTGAAATACAACCATGCAATATAACAACTTGTCCAGGTAGATCTCTTTTAATTTTCTAATAGGAATTTGTTTTACTTTTTTGTATTTTTAAGTCTATGGTCCATGGACACCATGGACACCATGTTCAAAATTTTGTGGTATTGGTATAAAACAACGTAATCGTTCATGTATTCCACCTGATTCAAACTGTGGAAATTATACACATGAACAAAGAGCTTGTGGTGTAGCCAATTGTCAACGTGTTGCTGGTAAATATTTTTTCGAACAAAAAAAAAACAAAAAACTTTCTATGAATATCTTTTACTTTTAGGTATTAAAGAAACTGAACCAGATAAATATCCGTTAAAAGGATATTTAGCTATTCGAGAAGGTGATATTTTATGTGTACCACAAAAAAGTACTGGAATGGCAAAGCATATGGCTGATTTAGTAAGATGAAAATATCCTAAAAGATGGCTCAAAAGGTTCGACTCTTCTTGTAGAGAAAAATTAATACTATTATCTGAAAAGAACAAAATTTGAATCCTATAGAGATCATGAATAAGGAAACAGGATTCAAAACGTAATCAGTTGAAAGAGACAGCAACGAGAAAGAATAAGTTTTTCTTTCACTACTTATTCTTGAATTTCCTCTATGAACGAATGAGTAATATTTTATCGATTTGATCCGGTGATAAATGTGTTCATCTTTGAGTAAATATCAATCCAGTCGAGCTAAATAATCTTTCTATCGAAGCACTGATTGCTGATGTGGCATGCACTTTTCTGGCTACTGTAGAAAATAATGGAAAACCATCTCCAGTTTTACTATCACATTAGAACTTTATTGAATCTCGATCAGTGAGATGACTTCGATGTCATCCAGATCCTGGGTCACAAAAAATTGTTCTGTTTTTATATGTGCAAGACCTACGTCCTGTGACATTCTCTATTAGAAAATATAGTTCGCTTCAGATGTCAGAAATATATTTTATTTTTGCAAAACAATGTAAGTCACAAAAAATTTAGTTATGATTATTCAGGCAACCATCATTTTTCAGGATGTTCATACGATTCAAACTGTTTTATTTTCAGATTATAGTTTTAATCTTTTTCTAAAAAACTATATGTTTTAGTCAACTATATATATTCATATGAATAACATTAATTTACAGACAGGAGTCGAAACTTTTAGACACTCTTTATATTTAAAAAAAAATTCTTTTCTTATAAAGGTTTGCAAATCAATTGGTCTTCCACGTGGTGCACAATATGGTAAATAGAAAATAATGTTATTCTCTTATTATTTTTTTGTTTTATTTTTATTTAGCTATTCTAAATCCTATTCGACATAATTCTACTTGTTATCCGGGTATATTATGTGATGGAACTGAAAAAGATTTTTATGAATGTAAATATGATCGAACGCAAACATCTAATAATGTTAGTGATTTATTTGCTGTTATAACAAGATGTATTGGTAAGATAATTTTTTTGTTTTAATCAATGGGAAAAAAAATTTCTTATTTAAGTCGATGGTGGTTTTTCACCATGGTCTGATTGGTCACTATGTTCGAAATCTTGTGGTACTGGTCAAACAAGACGTTTTCGAACTTGTACTGATCCATCACCATCAGTACCTGAACCTGAAACTATTATTGATAATCTTTTATTAGCCGGAATGAATTGTACTGGTGATTATAAACAAGTTAAAACTTGTAATGAACAATCATGTTAATCACACTTATTTCATAAATGAACTAACAAATATTTAGAAAAAAAAAAGAAAAGAAATTCTCATATATATATCATATTTATTTGAGCACAAAAAAAAATGAATGAAATTTAGTCTGCTGCTATTTTTTTTAATATCCACGATGATGTTGAATTGAATGTTCATTGATTGTCCATACACGAGCATTCATGATTACCCGTTGATGTCTATAAATAGCGAATGAACCACGAAATGATGCATTTGTTGATGCATATATTAAAGGAAAAATTAAAGATTTAAGTATAAGTATATAATAAGTTATTTGCAAAGCATGTTGAATTGCGTATGTATGAAGAAAAATAATGAGAATACGAATTGAAATCCAAGGAAGCCAAAGAAAAAAAAATGTTATACCTAATAAAAAAGTATGCCATGTCATTTGTCGTTGTTCAAGGTATATTCTTCTTGCAGCTAATTCCGACTGTCTTGGTTGTGGCTGACATAAATATTGTAGAAGATAAATTAAACCTATAAAAATAAATATTAATGGTAATGAATAAATAATTCCTATTTCTGTATATGCCATCCATGGTGCATGATAAATTGATGTTGCATAAGTTGTACAATATGATGTTGTATTTGATGCTGTTGATGTTGTTGGTAAAAGATAGCTTGAATAAGTTGTCATAAATGGAATACCATAAAAAAGAAATAATATAATCCATGATATTATTAATAATAATAGAGGATAACGACGACGAATATCTAGTGATGGTTGTTTTAAACTGTATAAACGAGTATATATCATGAAAAGTATTGCATATATAACAGCTGCTAAAGCACAAGATTCACCAATTCTTAATGCGACACATAATTTTTGTGTTAACGGATTTCCGTA